AGAATAGAATAGAATAGAATAGAATAGAATAGAATAGAATAGAATAGGAATATTTTATTGGGCCAAGTGTGGTTAGCAACACTAGGATTTTGTCTCCAGTGCAGAAGCTCTCAGTGTACATACAAAGCGACAGAGTAATAATAATCACAACAATAATCCCAATAATCATACCAATAAGAGGGGTATAAGGGTAATAATACTACAACCCTACGACATGGGTAAGTATCTTTAGAGGTAAGACAGTACTGTGGGAATCAGGTGCTGAGCAGTGATGGCACGAGGGAAGAAACTGTCCCTGGCTGTTTTGGCCTGCACTGCCCTGTAGCGGCATCCTGAAAGACTGCCCAGGATGTGAGGAGGGGCCTGTAGATTCTTCCTCGGGATCTCCTGCCCAGATTGGTAGGAGTGAATTTGCAGCACGCTCCCCCTCGGCCCAGTGCCATTTCCTAAATTGTAAAACCATCACAGGGCAGCACAAGGCTGGAAAAACACTATTTCTGATTGTACTTTTGCATTCTATTTATTCTCAAGGATACTAAACAGCAAAACAATATGTGTTTCAGCAACAAATTGTGCTTGGCTGCTCCCATGGATGTAGTTCTGGAAAATAAAGAGATCAAACACATGAAATTTCTTCAGTGGGACAAAGCTCCAAACCTGCATTTGCATGTGAGCAGAAAATCCCCCCCCCCCCCAATCCCAGATCAGTTCTTTAAAAAGTGAAGCTGAGCTCAGAACAATTTGATGGCAGGTTCTGGCAATTAATGCTCTCAGCAGCAGTAACACCCCCCTCAATCAAACTTGAAAATTTCCCAGCAGAGGAGGGCCTGAAGCCAAGGGAAAACTAACTCACCATTTGACCTGTGTGCGGATTCTTATGAGCGTATGGTGGCCCTCTGATGTGATTCCACATCTGTCCTGAGGTCATAGCCAGAACAAAGCACTAAAAAACCAGAGAGTGAATCAGTTGCCATGCGTGTGCCACCATCAAACCTACTAAGGGAACATGGCCTACATATGAACTAACCTCAAACAGGGCTTTTTTCACAATTTCAGTTATTTCAAATGTTTATTCTTACAATAAATCTCAAAATTGGCATTTACAAACTATTCACATGTTAATTACACAATAGTATGATTGAATCAAGTCTAATTTATATCCTATCAATAAAACAATCAGTTTATTCTCAAAGGAACCAGGGAGGTCTAAAATGTTGATTTCCCGATCTGCCCGTTTCCTGCAAAAAATAACTCCCAAATAGGAATGCAGAAACCTTCTGTCCTCAAGTTCTCTCTTTTTTTAAAAGTGGGGAAAGAATGTACAATGCAGCTTCTTCAGGATAGTTCATGCTGTGTGCCTGTGTGGCTGAGTAGATCAAGGAGTCAAAAGGGGTCTTTTAAATGTCAGATTGCTTACCAAAGCGGCAAAAGCCCAGCCTGTCTTGTTGTAGAGGAAATCTAGGTTGCTTCTTCTTAAATAGACGAGGCCACCAATGACAGCCAGCAGCAGCCCCAGCATCAATGGTCCAGCATAGTTTGGTGGTCTTATTACTCGGATCTGTGACAAAGGCAGGCTGAAATGGTCATCTCGAATCTACGTAGCCCGAGAGTCATTATTTTCCTGCCATCAATGGCCTGGTTTATGGAAAGGGAACACATCGAATTCTTGGACATAGGGGCCCTCGGCCAGGTACGGCATGGGATGACTGATCCACAATATAAAGAGCATTTTAAAGCAAAGATTATGTCATGCCTTCTTTATTAATATGTGTCTTCGTACCTTTTGAGGGACAGGGCAGAAATAATTAAAAGGGGTAATAAATACTATAATTCCAACAATGAAAATAGCTGCCACTTATTTCACTGCTCTCCTCATGTGATGATGGAGGAGAATCTGTACAAAGCAGGTTTCCAGCAGTGTCTTCAGGTCAATTTTCCAGCAAAGAAAAAGTTATATATTAAGAAAGGTAATAAAAATTTGAAAGTATTAGAAATGATCCACAGAGAAAAAATGCTGATTAACTTCTATAGTTAGATATTCAACCCGCTTTCATGTTTTAATTACTATTACAATAAGTAACTTGATTATTAAAATATATCCAAGCAATTTTACAAAAAATGTTCATTCAAAAAGCAAATGTTCTAAGGAGCTTCAATTATACATCAGTGGGATGAGCACCAAATTGCATCCCTGAACATTCTAGCACCTTCCTGACTTGTCAGACAAATACTAAATCCATAATAAAAAGCTCGTTTTTATAAAGCATTGTCATGATAGGTTTGGCAGCAGCTGAGCACATCTGCAAAGTAGCAAACTCTAGAAGTGTTTTTTTTTTTTTTAAATATTTGACCCCTCAACCACTTTACCTTTCCACTTTGGGAATTAAAAAATAATAATTGTTTTCATGGTTTCAATTGATTTCATGCAAACTACATGGTTTCATGTATCCAGTTAGACCAGGGTCTTCTTGAAAACGTTTTATTGAATAAAGTACAATGACTGAGTTTGCCCAACACGCAAAGACAAATTATGGTTTACAGTTTGTCCCAATTTGTCCAAATTGTGGTCCCAATATGCTAAGGCATAATGTGTTTTACTTAGCCTTGTGGTATTGTACTGAATCCAGCAGATAAGATGGGAGTTGGTTCTACTTTCGACCAACCCATATTGCCAGGACCCACATTAGAGGAGACGACTGTTCCGTCTCCTTGCGTAGCAGCCCTACTCTCTGAAGCTGAAGGAATATGCCCAGGAGTTCAGCAGTGCCCCCCCCCCCCCCCAGCAACAATGGGATAAGAAACCATCTCTTTGCAAGTCAGAGTTAAAAGCATCACATCAGAGGCCAAATCCGGTGTTTACTTACATTCACATCTGTTCGATCAGCCACCCAGCGGGCAAGCTGTTCAGCAGCAAAACCTCGCACTTGCAGCTCATAAGTGTCTCCTCTTTTTGGCTTCCCTTTTGGTGGGAAATTAATGAAGGTTGGAGCAGAATTCATGTTGAGCTTTATTTTTCAGCAAAATATACAAAAATATGTAGTTGAAAACTTATAGTCTATAATGCCAAAGTTTAAATCCATGCTGTCAGAAGAACCCAGATTCTCAGCTGATGAGAGCAACGTTTAGCTTATAACTGATTAGCATGAGCTCCTCTGCCGTTAGGCTATGCAGGGAGTCCATTGAAACCTTGATCTTAGTGACCACTCAAAGTTACAACTGAGAAAACTGTCATGACGGGTCTTCACGCTCACAACCAAGGCAGCCCCCCCCGCCCCCCCGTGGTCACGTGATCAAATATGGGTGCTTAGCCAGCAGCAGGTATGTGAGGCAGCTGCCGTGTCTTGGGACCAGGTGATTTTTGATGCTTCAGACAAGCAAAATCCACTGGGAAAGCCAGATTCACTTCACAACTGTGGCTTAAAAAATTGGGCCTAACTCACTTAACACTTGGCCTGCTTAGCAACCGAGATTCTGGTCCCAACTGTGGCTGTGAGTGAAGGAATGCCTGTACAAGGAAGGGGAAAGCCTTTTGTCCACAGGAGCCTCCCAGCTACTCTAGACCGGCGATTCTCAACCTCGGCACGATGTTGTGTGCTGCAGGACTCCTTCCCTTCAGCTCTTCAGAAGGAACCTTCTCCACCATGGCAACTTTTCAGGTGCTTCCAGGGGAAGCCTGGGAGTTGCAATCCACACATCTTAAGGTTGCCACGGTGGAGAAACACTGAGGAAAGAAAAGCAACCTGCAACTCACATTCTTACAATCTTTACCGCCACTGGCCTTAGGAGAACCCAAAATATTTTAAACGAAGAAAAACAATATTTAGGGACTTGTTTTTGAATAAATAGAATCCAGATTGTTTTCTAAATATCTTAAGATTTTTTTTTAGAATAAAAGCAATATTGTCTTTTACTACCCTTTGTCATACAAAAACCCCTATAAGCTCACGACTTTAAAGGCACCAGAAACTCCTCACCATCTGAAATACATCAGCACCTTCATCGAAATCCACCATGGCAAAAAAGATCCTGTTGGTAAATGCACTTGAGTATCGCCAGGAATTTGCCAGAATCTGGTACTCCTCATCAGCTTGTCTGTCAGAAATGAAAGGAGGCATCGATGAAGAAAGATCGGACCGGAAGAAAGTCAGCGCAGTCCCGGACACTTGCATCAGCATTAGCAATTGTCAGGAAGTGTGTTGCTCGCCTCATTTGGATCCCCCAAAGCTTTAGATTAGCCCTTCCAAAATTTGCCACCAAATACACATAAGGAAATGTATAGAAATCCACCTAACTGTACTTATTTGGCTCATATTTATATTTAATTTAAAACTGAATTTAATCAAATTTAGCTTTCTGCCAAAATACTCAAGGCCAAATGTGACTTTAGATTCTGTAAGGGTGGTACATTGCTGTTTGGTGAAGCTCAAAATTTGGCACCATTTAGATTTCACTAAAAGAAAAGCCAGAGCTTCACAAGAGCTCTTGCAGCTCCTTATGTTGGATTCCTCAAGCCTGCGCCACATCTGTGAATATACTTGCACTCATGCACACAGGAGAACAAATGTGCTTCAGGCCTGAGATGCTAAAATTTCATTTCAGAATGGTGTGGAAAGAATTGTTATGGCCTTATGGCTGTTCATATCAAGGTCAGTGATGGCTCCTGAATAGCTGTGCCTTCGCTTCCCTGTTTAGTGTAAAGTCAACACATCCAGGCATAGTAATCTTGATTGCTAAGCCACCTTATAAATGCTACCACTATTCCTTCATGGCATAATTCCACCCAGAACCATTACATCAATTCACAGGCTGTAAGCTGCAACACCCTCAAAGATAATGGGTGGGTTTAAAATCCTCTCCTTTAAAAGTGGGATAAGGGAAGAATACGAGTCCGCTTGATTGGCATTCATGCCATCAAAGTCGTGTCTTTCCAAACAAAGAGATCCCATGAGCCCCAACCTGTACTCCTCTCCTTCGTCAGGGATCAGGTGTGTACACATGCGCAAGTAGCCCTTGACTTACAACCAGTGTAACATTACAAACAATGGTCACTTAATGACCATTCAAACTTGGACCTGAAAATAACTTACTACCAGTCCTCAAAGTTATGACGGTCACGCCATCCTCACAGCCATGGGACTGCACTTCAGGCTTAGCAACTAGATCCCATTTAGGACCACTTACACTGCCCCGCAGTCATGCGATTGCATTTTGCGACAATTTTGGGGTGTTCTGGGGGGGAAATGCCCATCAAATAAAATAGGCTGGTACTTGCAACCATGTGCTTTACAACCAGGGTGAGTCACTTAACGACCATTGAATAAATGATTGTAAAGCTGAGACTGGTCATGTGGTGATTTGACTTACAATCCAATGGTTTATGATCAAAATTCTGCTCCCAACTTGGTTGGCCGTCTCCGATACTCTGTGTTCTTAACAGGAGACCAGTGGCTCATTCAAACTTGCTACCTTCAACAAAATAATCATTGGATCCTCTCCAAAGATCAGGATGTTTGTAAGTGATATGTTCTTTTCTACCCAAATAGCAGAACAGTTTTCACCAACTGTAGGTTCTAGAATCATTTTATTTTGGGAATTTTAGGAACCTTATACAACTTGTTCAAAAAAAATGCTGTTCTTATTGCAGGTTCAGCATAATATTCTTCCCCACACATGAGCTCATTTTAAGAGGAATATTTCTAAATTACCATTTCACAAATGGCTATTTCCTCAACTTCTAACAAGCATAATCCCAGCATAAAAATTCTTAAAATGCACTTATTACTTATACTTCTTCTGGTAATATGGCGATTTCTAAATAACTGAAATTCTTACTTGCACACAACACATTGTCTGTGAGGCTGAAGAGCAGTGAACATTATTATCACAGAGTAATTTCTTGGTGGAGCCTTTACCAGACGTCGAAATTTGTCCCCATTCAGTCGAATAACTGATCTTTTGCTGGTCCATTCAATCAACTGGCTTACTTTTTCAGAAAGCACCATCTAGGTTAGAAAGATATTCTGCAAGATTAAATTCATGCCATTTTTCAGGCACCTAAATGGTCACGCAGCTTAAATGTTAATTCATTCCACCCAAATGCACATCAGGGCTTATCGTGAGCAGTGCCACTCCCACTAATTTGCCACGATGTGGTAAATCTGTAATACCACAGGATTACACAATTCTCTCTCTTCACATGAAATTCCACAATTTCCACCTTTTTTCCTCTTTCATTCTCGTTCACCTGCAAGCAAATTCACATCCTTGGCAGGATTGAAAGAGACGCCCAACAACACACCTTAATTTTTTTTGCATAATAAACCTATATGAAAAACAAGGGTCTGCAAATTAAAAGAATAAACCCAGGTAAAAAACTGGGGGGGAGGGGCTGTGAGTTCTAGTCCTGCCTTAGGTATAGAAAAAAAACATCTGGGTGACTTTGGAACAGTCCCTCTCTTTCAACCCAAGCCATCTTGCAGGGTTGTGGTGAAAATAAATGGGAAGAGGAGTATTAGCTACATTCATCACATTTATTTATAAAAACAATAAAGTATTAGTTGTATTCATCACATTGTTTATAAAACAATAAAGACAGAATTAAAAAGAAAACAGGTTGTGTAACCATGCCGTGGCATTTGTGCATTGCTTTTCCTTTTCTGGCATACCATCCATCCATCCATCCTTTTTCCTCCTCATCAACCACCCTCTGAAGTGGATTAGGCTGAGATCAACACCAAGGTTGCCATTAGTTTACTCTGCAACGGATGCCAGATACGCATTGTGCAAACTCTTGTCCCAAAGGTGCTTTTTCAAGAGGCAACTGGACTGAGTAGCACTTCTGGTTCCTGCAGCCTGCCATTTTTCTCTGGAAATCCGTTCATACTCCTGCAACATTTGAAGGATGTTCATCCCACATTGTATGGCTAAAAGTCTGTAGAGATTCTCAGTCCCCTAGATCCTGGTTGTCCCAAAGGTGCTTTTTTTCAGGAGGCAAGTGGACTTTCTGTTTTTTTCTTTGAAGACGTTTGGCTCCTGATCCAAGAAGCTTCTTCAGCTCTGACTAGATGGTGGGGAAGGGAAAGATTTATATTCCTTGCAGATAACTGGTCATTTTAGATCTAGCATCCTTTTAGAGGGCTGTTGAGGACACTTGGAGTCTACCTGTAACGTCAGGTTCACCTGAGTAGTGCTCTTGGTTCCTGTAGTCTTGCAATTTTTCCTCTGGGAATCCATTCCTACTCTGACACCATTCAAGTGTTTCAATGACCCTCTAAAAGGGATGCAAATGACCAGCTGCCTGCAAGGAATATCAACCCTTCCCTTCCCCACTATCCAGTCAGAGCTGAAGAAGCTTCTTGGATGAGAAGCGAAACATCTTCAAAGGAAAACAAGGAAGTCCAGTGGCCTCTTGTGGGGGGGAAGCACCTTTGGGACAACCGTGACGGGGATGCCTGAGAATCTCCACAGACTTAGAGCCGCGTCTTTCCTCTCTGCCCTTTCAGCATCTCTGCCATGTTCATGATAAGGTTCATTTAATGATAACAATACTACAGTGCCCATTGGAGGCGGAGGCCCTTTGAGAGCTGCATGCAAGGGAATTGCATCTTCAGGTGGGTCGATTAGCGTCCATTCAAAGGGAGAATAAACCTGTTCCAAGCCGGGCCAAGGCAGAAAGGCCCTTTTATTGCAAGCCATCTGCAGACCAGGGCTCGCCAACCGTGGCCCCTTGAAGCCTGGAGGACTTCAGCTGGCTGGGGAATTATGGGAGTTGGAGTCCCCCAGGCTTCAAGAGGGCACGGTTGACGAGCCCTGGTCTGCAGGGCCCAGGCAGAGAAAAGGCCCGGAGCTCCCTTTCCCCAGCATTCTGGGCCGAACTCCGCCTGGGAGACGGACGAGGCTCCCCTGGGAAGCTCAGCCGCGGCTGCCAGGCGGAGGGGCAGAGACTTTCCCTGACGACTATCGGGCTGCGGGCTGGCTTCCCTTCCGACGAGGCGGCAGCGGAGGCCCAAGGCCGGGGGGAAGGCCCGTAGAGGCGCTGGCCCTCTCCTCGGCCAGGCTGCTCGGAGCACTTCTTGCCGCGGAGAGACGGGACGGCCGGATCTGACGCGAAAGGCCGCCGGGCGCCGCCACAGCTGCCGGCCTCCACTCACTCCCCCCGCCTTCCGCCGAGGCCCTCCGCGCGTCAGCCCGGCTGGGCATCGTTGCGCATGCTCAGAAGGCCTCTCCGCCCAGGGCCCGAGGGGCGCTGCACCGGTGGGGGCGCGACTGGATGACCTCGGGTTACCCCCGACCCCCTCGCCCGCGGCTGCCGCGCCGCTCACCTCTTTTTTCTTCTGCCCCTCCACTCCGGAGCCGCCCCAGCCAACCAGCAGCCCCAGCCCGGCCAGCATCAAGGCCCGCAGGAGCAGCAGTCGCGCCGCCGCCATGTCCGCCAGAACCGGAGAGAGAGAGAGAGAGAGAGAGAAAGAGAGAGACGGCCGACACCGGCAGCCCGGTCCCATTGGTCAGGCGGGAAGTCGGGCGAGCTTCTGATTGGTCGAGCTGCCATTCCGCCGCCCGCCATTGGTCCGTGGGGCTTCCGGTTTTCCTCAGCTTCCGACCTTTCACCTTCAGGGTGGAGGAGGCGCTCTGCAACGAATGAGAAGCGGGCGATCTGGTGCGATGTGATTGGAGGAGCTACCGTCCAAATCGCTCTGGCCCCGCCTACAGCTCTTGCGGAGGCGAGAGGAGTTGATGCGGATCTGAATGGGGGGGAAAATGCAAATACAGGTAGTCCTCGACTTACGACACGTCTGAGCCCAACATTTCTGTTGCTAAGTGAAACATTTGGGATAACTTTCGGACCTATTGTCTCAGATCTTGCTTTTCTTTCGTTGCTATCACTTCAAACTTAGTAAAAGTACCTTTTCTCTACAAACACGGAGTTGGAGGGTTTCTTTCTTGGGTTTTGAATGGAGGCCCGAGTGATAGAATTGCCGAGGCAGGAAGTTTACTCCCTTAATCATAATTGTATAAAATGTGTATTTGTATATTGTTGGTTCCTTTAGCTGCTGAGACCCTTTTCATGAAGAACTTCAATAAACCTTCCTTGAACCGCCTCTCCTGTCTGGTTCTGGTTCGCATCTGCGCCAATGTATATATTACTAAAAACTCTCGTTCCCGTAATTTTTATTTGAGTGAACCGTGCAATATAGCAATACAATAGTTTTTGAACCAAGGTAATTCAAATGGGCTAAGTTACACAATGCATCCAAAATCTGGAACCCATGGATCCCAAAGGAGTGAAATTTGGCCAATTCTATAAAATGCTTTATGACCTACGAATTATAATAAAAGAGCTGTATTATATGATAGAAAAGCCATAAAGCATTTCTTGTGTTTCCAAGAAGTCACCATGTTTCCAGTGTCTTTCTTCCCCACTTGGAACTGAACCCAGAAAGATATTTCTTCCAGCAAAACAACTTTCCCTGCTTTGCTACTATTTGGGCAGGTTCATTTATTTCGCCTGGAATTAATTGCCAGAGGAAGAAGCGGATTCCTGATCTTTGCAACCCGGCTTTCTACTTTGGGTTGTTAGTTCTGTTAGGGATTGAAAGGAGGGCCAGAGACAGGGTGGAAACAAAGGTGCTTTTGACATAAACGTGTGGGTGGGTGTATGTATATATGTATATGTGTGTATATATGTGTATATCTATATTATCTATCTACCTTGCAATACAGGAATCACATTTTGTGTATACATTTTCTAAATAAACGAATGCTGCAGAAACCAAGCCAGAATAAAAGGTCTCTCTCAGGAGATGCTTTTGGGGAGAGAAGCCCCCCCCCCCATGTCGGGGGGGGGGGCGTCCAAGGAAGAGGGGAGGCCCCTCCACCTGACCACGCCGGGGAGCCCCGCTTCTCTTCCCTTCCTGGAAGTGTTTATATCGCGCTTTTCTGCAAAATAATTCTCTTTCGGCGGGCGAGGCTTCCTTCCCGCTGCAGACTCAGATGAGCGGGGAGGCTACTCTGCATGCAGATCGCGGTGTGGCTGGGGCAGAGCAAGCCTGCCTGGCGGGAAAGGACCTCCGCCGCCCTCCCCGGGCTCGCCCTTCTCTTTCCTTCCCATTTGCTGCAGGGTTTAAATATTTGCAAAGCCGACTCAAAACAAAAGCGAAGTCTGTCAGAAGTGGGATTCGAACCCACGCCTCCATTCGGAGACCAGAAACCCCGCCTTCCGGGAAGGCTCTTCGCCTTGAGTCTGGCGCCTTAGACCACTCGGCCATCCTGACAGTACGGAAGAAACATGCTCACGGAGGCCCTTTCAAGACTCCGCCGCACCTACGCGGCGGAAGGACACCGCACCAGTGAGACACGGAGAACTCTCCTGAGCCGAGCTCGGCAGACGGAACTGAAACGTGCCCCGGTCGGAGCCCCCTCACTCTCTCCCGTTTGCGATTGCGGCGCCCCACTCCCCCCCCGCTTTCTACCCCCAAAACTACATCTCCCATGATGCAGTGGTCCTGGGCCTGCGCAGAAACGTGACGTCCAAGCCAGCGGCCATTTTGTTCCTCTCTTGCCCGGCGAGGTGAGAGGAGAAGCGGGTTGGTTGCAGGGAGACGAGGCGCGATGTTCCCTCTGGCGCGGAGAGCTTTGGGCCTTTCGGGTGAGTCTGCTGCCACCGGAGCCGCCCCGGGGGGCAGGGGTGCTCCTCAAGGGGGAACCACAGGCGGTCCTCGACCTTTAGTGACCGCTGGAAGCCTCGAGGCCGCGGAGAAAGAGGACTGAAGGGAGGGCCGTTTTTCCCACGGGACGACCATTGCCGCATTCCTCAGGGTCACGTGGTCAAACGCCAGCCGCTTGGCAACCGGCGCGTATTTATGACGGCGGCAGCGTCCCAAGGTCACGTGGTCCCCGTTGCGACCTTCTGACAAGCAGTCAAGGGGCGGATTCGTTTAACGACCGTGCGACTAATTTAAGAACTGCGGGGATTCGCTTAGCAACGGGGGCAAAACGCCCTTCACAAATGTCTCACTGAACGACAAAAACCTTGGCCCCTGGTGTGGTCGTAACTCGGGGACTGCCTCCCGTCGCCTGGTCCGCAGCCTGCCGGGCATTCGACCGGCCCTTGCAGCGGAAGCAAAGGGGAGCCTTCCCTCCCCTCTGTGGCCCGGCCTCGTCCGGAGCTCAGCTGCCCTGGGGAGCCTCTGCTGCCCCCCCCCCGCCCTCCCCGGGAGAGGCCGGTACTTTTCTTCCGCTTCTATGGACTCTGGGCCCACAAAAACGATCCCAACAGGACCAGCAGGAGATAAAAGACGCCCAGCGTGGCGGGTGCAGGTGGGGGGTGGCCGAATGCCAGGGAGGAGCCCCCTTCCCGGCTCTTCCATGCCCGGCCGAGGGGCTCCAGCTGGGCCCTGGGGAGCTGCTCCCGCAGGGGACAGGGCTGGCACACTTCAGGGGTCCAGACGGATGGCACCATCGACCGCAAGGAGCCAAGGATGCACCAACCCTGCAAGATCAAACCAGCCCTGAGGTGCCGTGGGAGATGGGCAGCCCCTCTGCTAGCCGGGCCCTACACCATGGGGGTCTTTACAGCTGGCAGAAGCAATCCCCTCCCCGTGGCTCGCAGGGCACAAAACTAACGCCTGCCCATTACTGCCCATGCCACTGGATTCTGGCCCACCTGAAACATATGAGTGGCCTTTAAGGGCAACCCCAGGAAGAGCCTGTTGCAGTAGTCAAGCTGCGAGGTAACTAGGCCCTGAGTGAGTGTCTGAAAGCAACCTCTCCTCTATCTAGGAGAAGATGCAACTGGTCCTGCAGATGTTGTTGGGCAAAAGTTATCCTGGCCACAACTCACTTGTTTTTCATGCAGGAGCTGCCAGTCCAGGAAGATACACACATTCTTCCACTACCACCCCGGCCCCCCATCCCCCCTGTTACTTTCCAACTTCGAAAGGAGAACTATTTCCCATCCAAGGTCAAAGGTGGAATCTCCCCTGGTCTGGACCTTCAGGTCACTGTGGTGCTTCAGCCTGCAGATATTCTATGTTGGGCCTTCTAAATCCCTTATCACCAAAGCTCAGTCCATTGCATGGTGCAAAATGGCGCAGAGGTGTCAGGACCAATTGCAGGCTGTGTTTGCTTAGCCTTCTCACTTCAAGAAGATCTTGGCACCCCCTCCCCCTTCCCTGGCACCTGCTCTTTATGAAGCAGTCCATGCCCCAAATGGGTGCCAGGCTGAGGCTTAGAAGCTGGACTTAGGTCCTTCCTCCTGGAATTGCTGACCACAAAAATCAGGCGTTTCTTTTCTTCAATAAAACACTGGTTTTCCACTAAAATGTTTAATAAAAATAGGTTTGCATAATTATGTGTGTTAAGGGTTCATGCACAAATACTGGGAAGGCGCCAGTCACAGTAAGTCATCTAACCTTAGGTCTGGTTATAAATGTTGAACTCAGCTTCCAAATTAGAAAATATAAAAAGAAGCCAATCTCAGTTAAAAAATGCCAGAGGACGACAATAGCTCAGTATGCATAGCATGATTGCCATTAATTGAATTTCAGAGCTGTGTATATTCTGCACCAAAAGCAGGATAACAGTAATATGTGCTTTATGTCAATATGCTTGGTTGATTGGTTGACTGGCTTTTCAACTGAGAGAGCTTTGTATTCCAGCCCGTGGCATTCAGCATACGGTGACAAGACAGGCTCACCGCAAACTTGAACCTGATTTCCATGAAAAGTATGGCAACCTCATTTTACTTTCTGGGTTGGCGTTTGGCATTGGCACTTGGACCTATGTAAGTATTTGGCAGACTTCACAGCAGCCAGGCAGTAGTAGGAATGCTAGCCTTCATTCAGCTGCTGGGTTTGCCTGTTAAAACGGGCTTAATTGTGTCAGTCCAAGCATTTGGGCTGTGGGTAAATGTTGTGTGAAGAGAATGGCTGGTATATGATTATGGTTTTATTTCTGATCACTCTTACAGGCTTGCCTTAACCTTCCACTTGTATGGAATTTCTCTCCCGTTGGCCGACTTACTCCAAAAGAATGGAGAGACTAGAAGTGACTTTGTGATTTGCCCTCTGGGAATGGGGAAGTAATCCGAGCTGTATTTGTGCCACCCTTATGTGGCACTCTTCTGTGCTTCTTGTGATATAATAAAAATTTTGAAAATAAATAATTTGGAATCATAATGTTGTACATACTCTTGTAATGCAGAACTGGTAGCCAAGTAAGTTGGCTTTTATCGGGATGTTACATGTGCAGGCATTATGCAGACATCTGTGATGGAATGTAGTTCAGATTCCCAGGAGGGAAGGGAGTGCATTCCAGAGGAGCAAGAAACAACTCAGTTCGGATAGATTATGAGAGAGAAAGAGGGTGAAAACAGCCCTTCCTTAATAGTTCTGAGAGTACATGCTTTATGGGGGTGGTAGCATGCTTTAGTTTGCCAGATTTTTGAGGTAAGAACAATTAAAAAAA